AGGGGAGATAGATATGGGTGCAAGATATGGGGGAGAGAGTTACTCGTGAAGGATGGATGGCAAAAGTGAGTGCTGGGGGGGAACGGACGAGGGGGTAGCAGAACGTGAGGGATGGAGGGTGCAAGCAGTTGAGTGGGGAGATGTACTTAAGAGGGATCAAAACAGGTTGGATGGGAAACGAAGAGGATTCTTGGAGAAGGCGAGGGAGAGAAACTAGCCCAGTAATGGGGGGGGGTGTCAATGGAGGTGTGCGTGTGTAAAGAGTCTAAAGACAGATACAGGGGACACTGTGATTAGGTCAATGAGATCTTCACTCTACAACGAGGTATTTAAAATGAGATATTTGTGGGTTATCTATCCCCCGTTGTATATTTTATCGTAATCTGCTTTAGATCACTTGTTCGGTATACCGTTTCGAAATGTGTTTGATTGACTTTTTTTTTTTTGCCGCTGGCTCCCGAGGGTTCTCAAGAAGGTAGGATAGGAGGAGGAAGTAGGGGGTTGGAAACTGGCGAGAAAACACCTTGAGTTCTCTATGTACTTTCGTGTCTGCCCGTTCTTCTAGATTGCCAATGTAGATATCAGCTATTCATCCTATTCGCCCATTTGTGAGATCCTCCTGTCTTGGTATATCCACTTTGTTTCTCTCCTCCCTTCCACTCTGTTGAAACTGGAGAAGACTTTGTTCAATCCCTCGCCAAATGTACCCCTCCCTTCACCTAGTGCAGTCAATCACATTGCTTCACTTCCTTCTTATCTATCGAAGATGGAGTCGACCATTTCTCCGAGCTTTGCTGTTTGGGATGGCGAAATCCCGCACTTGAGATCACTACTCAATCACCTTACTTCACTCCCCCCTCCTTCCCCTTCATCCTTGCTAAAGATGGGGGAGACTTCTCTTCTCCCTTTACCTAGTGTAGTCGATCATGCGATCATAGTGTATTAGGACTATAAAAAAGGTCCCAATACCTTCGCATTTCTTTCACTCCCCTTTTCCTTTCTGCCAAAACTGTGAAAGACTTTGTTCACTCCCTCGTAAAATGTGCCTCTCCCTTCCCCTAATGTAGTCAACAGCATCGCTTCACTGTGACGCCCAACCTCACGCCCAGCGCGACTTCCTGATCGGACTGGGATATGGGCCTGAAAGTGCGAAAAGGAATGTGCCAAGGATTTTTGGGGAAGTGGTGGACTCTTAAGGGTATGAATGCGATTGGGCGAATAAGGGGCGCATGCGCGAGGGACTCAGGGTCCGATGGGGCCGGGGCACTGTGGGCGACGGTTTACGGGGAAATCCCTCCGCGGTGGAGGCCGTCACGAAAAGTTAGGCCGTCGCGGGCCACCACGTGCCGCGGGCCGCCGCGTACTTGGATTGGGCCTTCAGAATTCCGGAGTTCTCCGTTCGTCGCTACGTCGGCAATTCACACAAAACGTACTGGGCCAATATGGGGCTATGGCCGGCCACGGAACGACGCTGAGTTGATGACATGGGAGAAGAAGGCGAAAAGTAGGGAAACTGGTGGTGATGACAACAAATCCCGGGTGGGTGAAGTAGTAGGTGTGGTCGGGGGAAGGGAAATCAGAGCACCGAGGGTCGCTAGAGGTGGCCCAGTGGAATTCCTGCGGACATAGTCAATTCTCTGTGTGACAGGGGTATCGCAGCCTTATGAGTTCGTTTATCCAAGGGGTGAAATATTCTGGCTCGTAGGATGAGTCTGAGTTCCAAGATCGCGTCATGGTATCATCGTAGATGGGGTAGCTCTGGTCGGGTTATCATCGCCACGCACGAGCACGTGCAGGACAAGCGAACTTAGTTGCGCCTCATCGTGCTCGTACGGGATGACGGTTCCGCCACGAATCTCTTTGGGGTGGGTGAATCGACGCGCGGGAATGCGTGTAAGGGCGCGACTCGGATCGCGTTTACACGTGTTCTCGCACGGCGTTCGCGGGGCCAGACTTCGGATCGTCTAATTGCTTTGTAAGTTTCGATTATGCAAGATGCAACCATATCACAACCTCATTGTGAGACAAGCAAAAACGAGAACGAAATCACTATCGGGGCCAGATTCTTATCCCATCTACAGCTGCATCAGGTTCGGGCAAAGATTCGACACAAACAAAAAGCAAGGACAGGGATTCTCAGCAAAAAGATAAACAAGCAGGCGTAACATCCATACATCCATACATTCGGCACTCATACACATAATGCAATCGGGACGGACATCCCAAGGACAAGTGTGAGCAAAAAAAAAAACAAGCCCAGATTCCAGAAAGCCGAAGCGAAAATAAGAACGGGCAAACCGCCCGGAGCCGCAATCAAAATGTATGTACACAGATGAAGAGGGGGAAGAGACTAAGAAACAGCAAATCCGCGTCCATCTACCTCAACTCTCTCCCTCTCTCTCTCTCTCTCTGATGCAGGCAGTCCGTTTAGTCCTCCCGCACCCGTCAGATTCGTCCGTGCCCACAGTCCGTCGTGGCCCACGTCAATCCCGCTCGTTGGGCACCAGCTCGTTGGGTCGCCCAACTCCTACTCTACTCACCTCTTACTTCGCTCGTGTGTCGACCCTTCCTGATCGCGCAACCCCGAGCTTCCAACAACGGGTTAAGAGAGTCGACTAATCGCACAGCCGAAATTCATAGCGTGCATGCATGCGCGAAGAACACGGAATTACCAGGACTTAGAGTGGGGATTAGAGAGGGAGCACCTGCGTTCTGCATGGTCGGGCCGCGGCGTGAGGGACGTAGCCCTTCTCCACGCATCGATCCGAGCATGCAAGCCGTGGCTTACAAAAACTTCAGCAACAGAAATAGAAGGAGGGCGGGAAAGACAAGATAAAAGAAGGAAAATACAATTACAATGGCGCCCGCCCCAAAATTAAAGTTACATACACGATTAAGGGCGGCTACTAATCAGAATACCGTTGCAGCCGCAAAAAGAAGCGCGTGGAAGAAGGCGCCGCGCGGCAAGAAAAAGAAAAATCCTAACTACTGAATTCCTAATTCCTATCTAATGCGAAGAAGCAAAAAGCACCAGGTTCAGAAGGAAAGTCCGAAATTCCGAGAGCCATCGGGGACTCGACAAAATTCAAAAGGAAATTCAAAAGAACGAAGCAAATTTCCCGCGCGATGCCCGCGCCCAAAGGATCGAAACGGAAACGAAAAAAACGAGGTCAATATTCATTAATTGCGCGCGCGCGTGGCGGCGCGCGAGACATCCATCCGACCAATCAATCAACCGGCCGTCCCAAGACACACCCAGCTCCGTGCCTAGCCATTCGAAAAAGAAGCGACGAAAAGGACGAAAAAACGAGGACACTGATGCAATTCTCCACCGATCCCGATTTCCCGTAATTGGCCCAATCTTCCCTGCTTAGGACCCCTTGTTGCAACCGCGCAGAAAATCGCACGTTACAGAAAGTGGTTCGTCACATATGTGACGCCCAGGGGGTTCAAATATTAGCAAGCTCCTGCTTGCTTGTTGACACGTGTCGATTTCTCTAATCAATCGACACGCGAAGCACTTCTGTCTATGCCACTTACCGTTCAACTGCGTGTGGACGTCATCCACGTGGCAACATTGCTCTTCTACTAGTTCCTTAGATTGGGTGCTCGACGATTCAAGAACGGGATCCTTCTCGTGCCGTTGCCGCGACACTCGTCCATTACCGCTGCATCAGTAATTAACCGGAAGGGGGAAAGGAAGGTGGTACGAGTATGAGGGAGGGCGAGGCGGCTCCATCGTAAGCTCAGGTATGAAGCGCCCGATCGCAGTGAGGTCGTAGGGAAGCTCTTGAAAGCGGACGATGCGATGGAAGCGGGGGAATCGTTGGTCGCTGCGGGGAAGGGAAGCGAGGTAGTCTGGGTAAAGGGAAACGAGGGTTCGGAGGACGTCGGTGCGGAACCGATCATGGTCTTCGCACGGGGGAAAGGTCCCTGTAACGATGCAGTAAACCTCTATGTGGTTACGGCCTCGCCACGCGGCGCTAAGGAGTAGAACGTGGAGGGGGTAATAGAAGACGGCGCACTGAACGGAAGGGTGGGGGTGGACAGTCAGCTCTAACCGGGCAGAGTAGAAATGTCGGAAGGTGGCGATGGGGAAGGGATTACGGGGGAAGACGATGCGATGGAAATACTGATTGAAAGAAAGATGGCTAAGGGGACGCTGGTATATGGATCGGGGACGAAGGGCGAAGCCCCTCATTGATACGTTGACGGATTGGGGGACGGGCGGAGGCGGAGGGGGACGGGGACGGGGATCAAGATTCGGATCGGGATCGGCGCCTTGTCGTCGCGGCGCTCGAGGTCGTGGCAGCAATGTCCCCATGTTCCGGCTTGGGCGGCTCGGGATCCTTGGAAGGATCGTTTGATGTGGGGTCAATCGCCGACCGCTTTCCCTCCACGACCTCTTTCTTGCGCTGCGCGGCAGCCTCAGGGTTCTCCTCTCGTCGATCCGGTCCTGTGACCCACTCGAGCTCGTCGTCGTGCGTTGGCTCCTGGTCGTCTCCGCTTTCCACTTCTTCTTCGTCGTCTTCGTTCTCCTCCTCACTTGGCTCGCCCTCGCTGTGCTCACTATAGGCTTCCTCCTCTTCTTCCGAAGTCTCCTCCTCTGCGCCTTCTTCTTCTTCTTCTTCTTCAGCTTCCGCTGACTCTTCTTCTGCTTCACGTTCGTCTTCCTCGTCCTCGGCCAACCGGGCCGCTGCTTCCCCGGCCTCTCTCCTTAATTCTCCTTCCGAATCCTCTTCTGCTTCCTCTTCTGCTCTCAGCGCCGCCCACTCGAACGTCGTTGGTTGCCGAAAGAAGCGGGGATTAGTTAGGCTGTGGACGTCCAGGTACTCGCTGCGAGAGGGAAAACGGCCGTCCGCCCAGCGCTCCTCGATACAAGCCGACCACTGCAGGCTCTGGGCGAGAGTCCGTGATCGGTTTCCCCGATCCACTGCTCCAAAGACGAATCCCAGAAGGTCTCCCGCCACGTTGGTCCTCCACGCATGGATGATGAGCAGCTCCACGGTCTCTGACGCGGGCCTCCGATCGCCTTCCCACGTCCAGTTCAGATCCACTCGTAGCAGGCAGAACGAGAGCTCAACGAACTTTGCACGTCACAGCCTCCAACGATCCGGATCAACGATGGGTACTGTCAGCGGCTCCAGGCAGAAGGAGAGACGAGGGTAGTGAGAGGACTGCCAGAAGATGGGGAAGAGAGAGGGAGGAGAAAACGTCGAGATCGTCGCGCGGCTCATCTGTGCGGCTGGAAGGGAGCAAGTTCTGGGAGGACGACAGGTGGCTCACGCAGCGTTGTGCGCAGCATGTTAACCTCGATGCCGTCGACAGGATAGCACTCGTCACCGTGCCTTGTGAGTCGTCGATCCCAAAGAGTGGCCAGATCACGACCCCACTGGTACAAGGTGCTTTTGATGGCGGCTTGCCGTGCCGGATCGAAGGCGGTGATGTCGCCGCTGAAGGCTACCACGGTAGACACGTGGCTAATTCTTGGGGCCGCTCGTCGTTGGAACGCCGTTGCCTCGGCCAGCACCACCACCTGGGGATTGCTCGTGAACCGGAACTCTGCCGCGCCGTACACACCCGCAGTGCAAAAAAACTGCTCAAGGCGCATGAAGTCGGGGCTGGTCCGCGGATGATGCACTTGGCGGATGGCTGAGATCTCTCCCCGTGGCATCAACAACTGATTACTGAAAGCTCGCTCGATGGCGAAGCTCATGGCGATGGCGGGGGTGACGGGGTGGCAGAGAGGGAGCAAGAAGGAGAGGGAGATGGCGGAGAGTCAGAGTCGTTGTCGTCCGCTTCCTCAGAAAGAGAGACCGAGGGAGAAGGAGACGGAGCAGAGGGGAGGAGGCGAAGATAGGACACGTGGCGGGTGATCGGACGAGCCGATCGACTGCCTGAGACCTCGAGGGCGAGACGCACGATGTCCACGCCGTTAGGGCCGAGTTCGATCACGCGATATCACCCGAAGAATCGTGGCGCTAACTTACCCTGGCGAGCACATTTCCTTACCTGCACCACGTCCCCCAATTTGTACTGGGGCCGCGGACCCGCATTCCCATTTCGGGCCTAGTAGCTCCGGACTTGTCGGCCTTGGGCTAGTTCGGTCATTTTCTGTCATTTTTGGGCTAGCCTGGGCAGCGACCGTTCCATTAACTCTAGGTGCCGTTTGGCCTTGTCCCAAGCTGTGGCCCTGGTGGGTCGTTGGTTCAATGTAGACTCATCCGGGAGGCTTTGTATCGAAACGCAAGCGACGCTATTGGTCCTTAATTGGAAGGGGCTTAGCCCCGTCGATTCGTGGGGCGTTCAGCGATGAACCGCCAGAATGTGATCGACACAATCGGGCTAGGGCCTTGGATCCCGTGCCTCGATGTTTCATCGCAATGCTATCTTTATCACCCGGTTAGCGTTTTCAACCAGCCCATTGGATTGTGACATGTGGGGTGCAGTGTTCCGTATGGGGACACCATGTATGACCAGATTCCTTAACACTTCCCCTCTGAATTCGGCCCCGTTGTCGGTCAGGATCTCTTCCGTATCCTGATGCATCTCGAGGAAACGGTTGACATACCGCTCGATTTCCGTGGCTTGCCGTGTGCGACAAGGATACGCTTCGATCCATTTCGAGAAAGTCGACAAATACCAATATGAATGAATACTCGCAACTATTAGGGCCAAGGGGCACCACTATGTCGGTAGTGTTCATGCTCACTCTTTGAAATGGTCGTTCAATAACCGTGGGCACTATCGATCTTGGTGGCTGAATCGGCGCTTTATCAGCGGCGCAAACTTGATAGTTGGCGACAATGTATTTCACATCGTCGCGGATATTGGACCGGTACCACTCATTTTTGTCGATAGCGGATTGCGTGATTCGTACGGCAAAATGGGCCGCAGTTTCCTCGTGGGCTGTCTTAACCCAGTCATACCGCATGAACGGATGGGATACCACCATCCAAATCCCACTGCCGTCCGTTTTCCGTTTTTCTAATCTACCTTCTATCCATCGATAATCCCAAGCCCTTTCATTGGCCCCCCTCCAATCTTCCTTGGTGAAATCCTGGAGGGGGTTACCTACTAGGGAGGCAATTAAGGCAATATTCGTCCATACTTCGGCCCTTCTAAACTCCAGGGTCTTTTCCAACCCTTCTGACGTGGCATCCAAAAAGCGAGCCTCGGTCGAAATCTTGTCGGTCCGGCACAAGGGGCACACCACGGTTTACTATCGTTTCTGTATTGGATGCACGAGCCATGGGCTTATGCGACACACTGTCGGCAATCTATCCAATCCGCATACCCTTCCCCGTTGGGATGCATGGAGACCACGTATACGCGGGAGATGGCTTCTCAAAAATAGCAAAATTTGTCAGGCAGGGAGAGGAGAGACGAAGAGGAAGGGGGAGAGAGAGAGGTAGTGGGTTTACCTCCATCACCCATCGCCACCGTTTTACTTCTTGCCATGTGGAAGAACCACCACTTGTCCGTATTTCGGCTTGTTGGTCAAGTCCGGCTCTTTCCACGGTGTAATTTCCTCGCCCTTTGGTACCTTGGCAGGTCGATGCAGACGTGTCAGCCCGTCCGCATTGTCGTGTCGCTCTGTCTTTCGATGGACGATATCGAAGTCGTATTCTTGCAGTCGCACCGCCCAACGGCCAATCATGCCCATGTAGTTGGTGAGTTTCTTCAGCGCCACCAAGGGTTCGTGATCTGTCACGAGGCGAAACTTTTGTCCGTAGAGATACGGATGGAAGTGTTGGATTCCCCAGACTACTGCGTAGCATTCGCCTTGAGGTGCCGAGTCATTCCTTTGTTCGTCCGGTACTATGCGTGACGCGTATTCGATGACGTGTTCACGACCATCGTTCCCCTTCTGCGCTAGAATAGCGGAAATAGCTTCCGGTTGCCAGTCCGTAATGAGAATGAACTGCTTCGAGGGGTCCGGCCGAATCAAAATAGGGGGCGTCGCCAGAGCGTCCTTGAGGGTTGCAAAAGCCTGTTGACACTCCACGTCCCAACTGAGAGGCTGGTCCTTCCTTAACAGATTCGTTAGTGGCCGCGCAATCGCGGCAAAACCCTTGATGAAGCGCCGGTAGTACGACGCCAATCCCAAGAAGGCTCGAACCTGCGTCAGTGACGTGGGAACAGGGGCTTATTTCACCGCCGCAACTTTTCTCGAGTCCGGCCGCAATCCTCCACGTGTCACGACATAGCCCAAGAACGAAATTTCCGAGAGGATAAATTCGCTCTTCTCGAGTGCAATCTTGAACCCAGTGTCTCTCAACGCGCCCAATGTCCATTCGATGTGTTGCGCGTGCCCATGATAGGTTTTCGAATAGACCAGGATGTCGTCTATGTACAGAATCACGCAGAAGTTAATCATCCCTTGCGTCAGCCGTGTCTTGTTGACGAAGTTCTGGAACATCATGTTCATCGCTCGCTGAAACGTGGCAGGCGCATTGCAAATACCCGTTGGACACCGAACCCACTGCCACGTGCCCTCAAACAACACAAAGGCCGTCTTCGGCCGATCTTCCTCTTTAACCAGAATATGATGGAAACCATGCCGAATATCAAACCTGCTGAAAGAATTAGCGCATCCAATCGCATCCAACAAATCATCAATCTGGGGAAGGGGATACACATCTTTGATCGTGATTTCATTGAGTTTGCGATAATCAATACAAATGTGAATCACTCCATTTTTCTTCGGTACTGACACTACGGGAAAGGACCAAGGTCCGGTGGCGGGTTCAATCCAACTGCTGGCTTCGATTTCCCGAATTCGTTCGAGAGCCTTTTTGCATTCAATCAAGGAATACCGGTTAGGTTTGCAATGAATCGGGGAGTGATTTCTTGTGTGAATTTCATGTTGGATTACTAACGACAAACCAATGTCAGTATCTGTCACGCTAATCGCTCCTTTATATTCCGTTTGAATGTCCGCAATCACCCGGTGGATTTCATCCTGTACGTACTGTGGAACGTGTAGTTCAAAAAGTTGATCCCCGATCCGAACGTCAAGCTGTTTCGTGCGTGTCTGTTTTGCCACGTCGGGCGGAGGCGCCGGGATGAACGAATGGTCCGATCGCCAGGAGAACACTGTGACCATCATCTAGGCGTCTTCTTCCCGGATTGCCACGTGTCCTTCCGGGGTAATCCTGTCACAAACATCCTGCCATGGCACGTTCTTAGTTGCGATCTTTATCCCCAGTCCGTCTGTTTCTGCCTCGAAACGCCCAGGGGGTTCCAGAGAGTTTGCTTCCACCCCCAAACGTAACAATCTCACTTCTTTAGCAGATGCCAATAAAGACTTAGGTAATTCCGTAATGTCGCAATAATGCTTTTTGTCACTATACCTGGCGAGGAGAGGGGTGATTCCTTCGTACAGAGTTTGAGGGGGTTCCAAAAAGTTGACCATCCTCGAAATCTGCACGAGGGGCTCACCCAAGATCATTGCCTTGGTCCTTTGAATTTTTCGGCTGGTCAGTTGAATCGTTCTCGCTATCATTTTGGGCGGCGGGTAGCAAACGCGTTGTCGTACCAATTTCAAGATCTCCGGATCATCTTCGTCACTACTTTCCGCATCATCTGTTGATGACTTTCCCGCTGCGGATTCATCCCAAGAGATCATGCAGAGAGTCCCTGCCATCATCGGCGAAACCCGCGGAACCGCGTTAATAGTAGTGCGAAGGGTCAATCGCATGGGCACAGCGTAGGGTTTTCCTCCTGTATTTCGGAGGACGATCGATCGTCGCTCGAAATCCAGGTTCGCTCGTAACGCCACAAGAGCGGGAAGTCCGAAAAGAACGTCGTACGTATTAACATCTAGTACTACGACATCCCCAAGCGCGTGTATTTTTCCTAATCGGAAGGCGACATTGGTCATTCTCCCCACAGTTTTGATTTTTTCCTCATTTGTCGAAACGAGTTGATCTTTCTCAGTAAGCATGATCAGATCGTTTTTCCTACCTGCCCTTTCGACCACTCTCAGTGAAATCGCCAACACAGCTGCTCCCGAATCTATAATTGCACTGTAGGGAATTCCCCAAATTTCAATATCACATTCTGCGGATTTCCACGGAATCGGTTTAATACGTAAGAAATGATCGTCTTTCTGAATTAAACCCACCCATATCGGATCCGGAGTGCCTGTTGGGTTTTCTTCTGGCGCGGGGCCTTTGGCTTTTGCATTTGGTGTTCGGGCGAGGGCGAATCGCTTTCGGTTTGCTTTGCAATGTTGTACCATTCGCTCGTTGGCTTGCTCGGAGATCGAGAGTAGATGACCGATCGGAAGGGGAATCCGATGGTCCAAGGCTCGGATGATGTTTAATACATCGATTTGTCCTATGACGAAGGTAGGTCCTCCCGATTCCATTTCTCCAGGAGAAATGGAATCGGGAGGACCCACCTTCGTCACAGGAGAAATCGATGTATTAAACATCATCCGAGCCTAGGACCTAGAGACGGTCGTCACTCCGCCACCTCTTTCGGTTCTGGCGCTGGTCTGATTGTTCCGATCATTCCAAGCCCAGGATATCCCAGCGATACGTATTGATCTAGCGGGATTAGCTCGGCGGCCTCTTCCGTGGCCAGGGCACTTCCCCCGCCCTCTATTTCTTCCATCAAAGCTCCGACTCGTCCAAGTCCGTTAGCGATGGGAGCCGCCGCTATAGGCGCGACCCTGATTCGCTGTTGTGGGGGTCGGTGGCGGCAATCACGGGCTAGATGTCCTGGTTGATGACAGGCATAACAAACATTCAGATTATTTGTGACTCCTCCAAGCGCAGGTGTCGGGGCTAATCCTTGCTCCATCGGAGGGGCGCATACCGCAATGGGCCGCATGTTCCTCATTATGGCTTCCAGCCGAGCATTGTGCACTCGCTGCTCCTTTTTGCTTTCCTGGATCAAACTAATCAAGGT